TGATTAGGGTTGGTGCTTTTTCCTCCAGCAGAGGCAGAGGAGGTACAGAAAGATACAATGAAACTTGATTTCAATATTAAAAGCATCAACTAAGTTTCTTTAGAGTCGCTGAATTCAGAGACCTAAGAAATGCTAATGGTGTCAGAGTGTAATTAAGTCCCGCCCACACCGTGGGGGAAAACAATGCATGGCTCTCTATTGACTTAGTATTGTGTGAAGGTGCCTCCCCGTCACATTCATTCCAAAGAACTGAACCTCTGAGCGGTATCAGCAGCAAGAATGGGAATGCTGTGGATCCTGATCCTGACATTTCTAATGTTACCTGTGCAGCAAGCATTCAGTCCAAATGTCAGTTTTAGGTTAACTATATTCCTGTGAATTATGCAGTGTTGTGTTTTCAGTCACAGGAGCTTGCTGACACACGGCCATCATTAGCTTGCTAACAGCTAACTTGTCCCGTCATTATGTTAGTTCTCAGCTGCTCCCCTGGTAGACATGGCGTGCTGAAATACTCAGGCCCTTCTGTTAGTGTTTCAGCCCTTGGGTGTGTGTGTTCCCCTCCGGTGGCCGTTATTTTCAGAGTATGACACTCTGTCTCTGTCGAGACATAACCACCTTGATCTTGCAATCTGTGTTTTCCTACCTTGCCCTTCTTTTTCCGAGAAGCCAGCTCTGCCTCGTCGTCACCCTCCTCCATCAGCTTGAGGGCCAGCTCCTTGTTTACCTTGGGCAGCTTCTGTCTCAGCCAGAGCACACAGAAACATGGTTAATCACACAGGGTTGTGAGGCAACGTGTACATTTTCACCGACATCAATGAATTACTAAGCTAAAGGAATGCATGCTAACGATGTGAGAGGAAGAGAAAGGATGTACAGGGGCGTTAATGGAACGATGGTGCGTTTTCAACGCTTTAAACCACGAGAGGAAAGACGAGACGCTCACCTTAACCTGCACTCTCTGGGTCCTGGATTCCTCGATCTTCTGGCGGATCTTATCCTTGCGATACTCCTCGTATGCGAAAGGATTGGCCATGCTTTTGACCTGCGGCCGAGCCAAACGGCAAAAAAAATCTAAGCAACACACCTCTTTGAGACACTTTTACAACAGTTTTCGTCTGTTATATCCCGATCAGTTCAAATTGAACAACTCGGCTAATTATTTGAAGGTGTGTTTACCTTGTGATAAAGCCGGATGTCCATGAAATAGCCGTGCATGTAGGCTCTCAGGAGAGATGATCCCACCAGGTGAGACAAACCTGACACAAATAAGCAAAACACACAGAAATCACAATCTGGACTTGGCGAAA